GAAGAAAGGAAGAGAAGAAGAAGAAGGAGAAGAAGAAAGAAGAAGAAGAAAAAGAGTTCATATGGTATAGTTTCATTACTACGAGAATGTCGAGCTGGAGTGAGGAAATGTAGACAACAAAATATGATTCAGTTTTTTTGTTTTTTTTTTCCAGCGTTATCCTTATAAGCTTGGTTACGAAAATGTTAATACCATGAATAGAAGCCTTACGTAAAAAAAAAAAAAAATAAATAATAATAAAAAAAAAAAAAAAAAAAAAAACAGTCAGAGCTTATCATCTCGTAGAACACAAGAATCTTAAGTTTTTTTTTTTAAACTTACTTATTAAAACAAAGTACAAAGGTAAATGAAGGTTTAAGAGAGAGAGAGGGGGAGGAGAGGAGAGAGAGAGAGAGAGAGAGAGAGAAAGAGAGAGAGAGAGAGAGAGAGAGAGAGAGAGAGAGACAGACAGACAGACAGACAGACAGACAGACAAACAGACAGACTAAAAGACACAAAGACACAGAGAACGAAAGAACGAGAGACAAAGAGAGAAACAGAACAATATGAACGAACAGAGACAATTAAACGAAAAGAGACACACACAAAAGATCTAACGAAATGGGTTATAGCGAGAATATTGATAATGACAGGATAATATGCTATCCACTTCTCATTAGATGGATAGCTATTATCCCCCTGAAAATCCTACGTAGGATAGCAGGAGATCAAAAGGATAATAATGATCGTGATTATAACATCAAAGCCGTAAGGAATTTTAGGATTTATAGTGATCTTTAATTAATTATATCTTCTGGAAATACGACAGAATAGTTTTTTTTTTTTCAATTTTTCTTATCCTTCTTTATGCGTTTGTGTGTTTTTTTATTATTTTTTTTTTCTCTCTTAAAGTTGTGGAGGTATTTGTCTATCTCTCTACGTATTTGTCTGTCTCTCTAGGTACGTTATCTTTACGTAGTTTCTTTAATCTCCTTTCTTTTTCTCTTCTCGTCTTTCTCAATTCGTGCTACTCTCATAGTATTGTGCTCTGTCTGCTAGGTACGTATCTTACGTAGTGTTTTTGATCGTCCTTTCTGTTTTCATCAATTATCCTCTCGTTCTCATAAACGCGCGTGTATCTATCCACTGATAATAAATCTATTTCTTATGTTCCGTATCTCTTTTTTTATCCTTTCTCTTTCTCTCTTCTTCAAAAAAACGGTTTATCTCTCCACTGAAGGAGTTCTGTTTCTAGTTCCGTATCTCCCTTTTTCTTCTCTTCTCTCTTCTCAATTAACCGGTTGATGCTCATCCACTGTAATATCTATTTCTTAGTTCCGTATCTCCCTTTCTTTTTCTCTGTTCTCTCTTCTCATAACCGTTTATTATCCACTGAAATATCATGTTTCTCAGTTCGGCGTAATCTTCTCCTTTTTCTTTTTCTCTTTCTTTCTTTCTCAATATACGCGGTTTATCTATTAATCTGAAATATCTGGTTTCTTAGTTCCGATCTCCTTTCTTTTTCTCTTTCTCTCTTTCTCAATAACCGGTTATCTATCCACTTGAAATATCTATTTCTTAGTTCCGTATCTCCTTTTCTTTTTCTCTTTATCTCTTTCTTCAATAACCGGTTTATCTATCATTGTAGATATCTAATTTGTGTATCCTCTATTCATCTGGTTGTATTTCTGTTTCATGTCGAATATCTAATTGCGTAAGATGTCAAACTATCAAAATTCTCTCCTTCCCCTCTCTGTCTTCCTTCTCTCTCTCTGCTGCCTTATGTGCTCTCTCTGTGTTCTTTCTCTTTTTCTTATCTCTCTCACTCTCTTGCTCCTTCTCTCTCTCTCTCTTGCTGCCTGGTCTCTCTCTTGGCTACCTTCTCTCTCTCCTCTCTCTCTTGCTCCTTATTCACTCTCTCGTCTCTCTCTCTTGCTCCTTATCTCTCTCTCGAGTCGTTCCTCTCTTTCTAATCCCTCTCATTCTCTTGTTCCTTCTCTCTCGCGCCAGCGGGCTCTGCCCTATCTCTTTTCATTCTCCATTCTCTCCTCTTCTATACTTCAATTTTTCTGTTGTTCGTTTCTTATCTCTCTCTTACTATTTTCCTCTCTTCTCTTTCTCTCTCTCACAGTCTCCTCCTTCTCTCTTTCCCTCTCCTCTTCCTCCTTCTCTCTTTTCATCTGTCGCCTCTCCCTCCTCTCCTTCCCCTCTCAGCTCTCCTCCATCTCTCTTCCCTCTCCTACCGTCTCTCTTATCCCTCCCTGTCCCTTCTCCTCCTTCTTTCTTCGGCCTCTCGCCTTCTCCTCCTCTCCTTTCCTCTCCCTCACTTCCCGCTCTTTCTTCTCCTTCCCCCTCTCCCCTCTCCCTCCTTCTCATCCTGACCTGCTCTTCACTCTCCTCTTCTTTTCCTTCCTCTCTCAGCGACCCTCTCGCTCCTTCCTCTCTCCCTCTCCTCCTTCTCTTCCTTCTCTCCTTCGCCCGCTCTCCATCTCCTGCCTTCCCTCTTCTCCAGACCGCCTCTCCTGCCTTCTATTCTCAGTTCTCCTCGCACCGTCCAAGCCTCTCTCCTCTCTCTCCTTGCTCGTCTTTCCGCTCTCTCTCTCTCCTCCTTCTCCTCTTTCCCTCTGCCCTCTCCTCCTTCTCTCACTTTCCCTCCGCTCTCCTCTCTCCTTCCCTCTCGCTTTCCTCCTTCTTCTCTCTCCTCCTTTCTCGTTCCTTCCCTCTCTCAGCCTCTCCTGCCTTCTCTCTCTCTTCTTCTTCTCTACATCTCTCCCTCGCTGCCTTCCATCTCTCCCTCTCCTCCTAATTTCGCGTTCTCTCCACTCCCCTCTCTCACCTTCTTCCTGCGCTTCTCTCTTCCCTTCTCTCTCTCTCACTCCTTCCCTCTCTCCTACTTCTCGATCTGTACATCCTATCATACCTCCTTTTCTCTTTCCGCCTATGTCCCTCTCCTCCCTTCCCCTCTCTTCCTCTCTCCTTCTCGTCCTCCCCCCTCTCCCTATCCTCCTTCCTTTCCTCCCTCTGCTCGCCTCTACTTACTTCCCTCTCTCTCCCCATCTTCCTGCCTGCCCCTCCTCCCACCACGTAGCAACCCCCCCCCATCCAGTCCTGACCCGACATCGTTAACCGACAGAAAATACGAAAATCCAGATTCTCGTGGCCGGGTTGTTAAAAACAGCGGCCGACTGATGTAGATAAATGGTTCGAATCCCCTCCCTCCCCCCTCCTCCCCTCCTTCCTCCCCCCCTAAACAAAGCCTCGGGTGGGTGGGGTGGAGGGTGGGAGGGAGGGGGAGAGGGAGAGGGGGGGGAGAGGAAGGAGGGAGGGAGGGAGGGGGAAGGGGAGTGAGAGTGAGGGACGGAAGGGAGGGGAAAGGGGGGGGGGGGGAGGAATAAAGAATGGCCATTCCAATTTTCCTCGAAAGAGAATGCTCTCTCTCTCTCTCCCCACTGTCCCTCCCCCCACCCACCCCCCCCACCCTCCTCCCGACTGAAAATGCCGAGTCAATAAATGCCTTTCTGGCATTAGGATAAAAGACTATTTATTCGTACATTTACTCCTACGGCTAAAGACTGGCGACTGGTCTCGAAGTTTCACATTTTATTAACGCTGTATCCCTCGCTGCTTTCATTCAAATTAAGTTTTTAATTCATTCAAACTGTTTTTAATTTTCGTGTATCTGATATTTTGCTTTAAGTCGGTATCCCTTCCATTCTTTCCGCGTAATTTAACCGTCTCGACCGAACAGACATAAAGAAATATGATATTTATTTTTAGACCCGTATCCCTCTCGGTTTTCCCGCGCAAATTAACGGTCTCGGATTTGAATATGTTTAAAGGGCATTCCGAAGCACGGTGTAATGAAGATCGTTATCGCAACTGATATTTCACATAAGAAACACCGTCAAGGCCATTGCATTCCTGTACTTAGTGCCAATATATCAAACTATTTCGTTATTACTTTCCCTTCTCGGCGACACCAAAGCGACGCGAATATTTGAGTTATGCGTCACAATAAATTCACATCATCTCCCTCTTCCTCCCCGCCCTCCCTCCCTCCCTTCTTAGGCTCCCTGTTCTCCCCTCCTTCCCTCCTCTCCCTTCCTTCCCCGCCTCCACCTGCCTTCCTTCCTTTGCCCTTATCCTCCCTCCCTTCCCTCCTTTCCTCCTTTCTCTATTCCTACCGCCCTCCTCCCTTTTTAACCTCCCTATCCTTCATCCTTCCTCCCCGCGCCCTCCCCACTTTTTTAAGGCTTTCAAATCCTCCCTATCCTCCCTCTTTCCCTTCCCTCCCCCGCCTCTCTCCTTCTTAAGCTTCATAATCCTCCCTCTTTCCTTCCTCTCTCCCCCTCCCTCTCCCTTCCTCCCCCGGCCTCTCTCCTTCCCTCCCCCGCCCTCTCTTCCCCTCCCTCATTCCTTCGATCCCTACACATTTCTTCCTCCTTTCCCTTCTCCTCCTAACCTCCTCCCTCCCCCCTCCCTCCCTCGCCTCCCTCCTCCCACCACCCGCCCAGAGGAGGAGGGAGCGAGGGGTAATATTCATGAATACATTGTCTCAAACTCGATGAGAATTCCAAACATATTAATCCAATATTATAGTCCCCCTTCCGACAGTGTAACAGGTTTTCTGTGGTAATCCTCGCGGCGGGAGAGAGCCCTCCTCGGCAACACTCGCTCTCTCTCTTTTTCCTTTCCTTTTCTCCGCTTTTGTGACTTTTATGGGATGTTATAGAGGAGTGTAGTCTCTGGGCGCGTTGTAGAGGAGTGTAGTTGCTATACTGTCTATAACTTTTGTCCTTTTTTTTTGGGGGGGGGGGGGGGGGGGGGGAGCGAATAACAGCTGTTCGATCAAGGATTTTCGTGTTGGGAGCTGTCACCGTTTTTTTTTTTTCCTGCGTTTGTTTGTTGCCATTTTTTTCCTATTCTTTTCTCTTTTGCGTTTTCCTCTTTCTTTTTTTTCTAAAAGTTGNAAGTTGAATGTGCAAAGTCTCCATACAAATATAATAAATTTAACTATTTCT